ATGTTTAGTGAAACCCACATAGTAGCTAACACTCGTAGTTGGAGTTTTATTGTGGAAAAGCTCAAAAGAAACAGTTGTGGTGTCATCAAAGATGCATAACCATGATATAGCTTGTTATGAGGCTTAAGGACAGGCGAAGTGGTTAAAAGAACTTACACCCGGATTTGATAATGGTATACAACAGCAATAACCATTTAAGTAGTTCGCTCCTATAACAACGGGTCAAGTGTGCTGCCAAACACATTGACGTTAAAGTTGTATGTTGTGAAGGAGAAAGTCCGAAATCATACTAAAAGTATTGAACATATAAGTAACAAGCAAGTGCTTGCGGATCCACGTACAAAAGGCTTACCACCCAGTGTGTTTGGAGAACACACAGTCGACATGGGTTTATGGTATAGCCTATGATTTCCGGACAATAAAGGGCCCAAAGTTAAAGAATCTGTTTCAGAACAGAGATGTGTATTGTAGCTGTTAAGTCTATCGGCGATTGACCGTGACGATGAAGCATACTCTATGCACTAATCTGTGATGGAACAAATAAAAGTGAAAAGGATTAAAGTCAAAGTTTAAAGTTAAAGTATGAGTTGAGATCAAGGGGGAGAATGTTGGTTTGATCTCCCAACCACAGTGGCCCAACGGCCACTTGGGCCTTTGAAAGGTCCTTGTTGGTTTTGGTAATTGAGTGACAACCTAGGTGGACTAATTGTGTTTATGTGAGATACACAGGTGATTAGTCCACATGTACATGTGTATGAGCAACATATGCCATGGAGGTGAAAATGGCTTGGAGATGTTGCAAAGCTCACACATGTGATGATGAAGGAGCTTATTGCACATGAGACATGACATTGAGTCATGTGATCAAGGTGGAGAAGATCAAGACAAGACTTGGCTTGATGGACCGGTTGCAAGCGTGAAGGGCAAGTCGAAGGCTTTGGAGTGATGAACCGCGTGGCGGTGAAGCTTGAGCAAGACTTGGCGCCGATGGACGATGGCAACGGTGAAGGGCAAGTGAAGTCAAGATCGATGAACCAATATGATCACGTGATGATACGAAGTGGATCATATCATTGTTGATCGTGTTGGTGCATGTGTTGCAACAACATTGGAGGAGATGGAATGGAATGCGCATAGGCAAAGGTATAACCTAGGGCATTTCATTTCACCGGTCATAGGTGTGTAGAGAAGTTTATGACCGGGTTTAGGATAGATGGCCGTACTATCAAGAGGGGCAAACTTGTTTGCATATCGGTCATCTAGTGCCACTCGAGTGATCTAACTTTGCATTGTCGCTAGGATCGAGTGGCGTGGCAAGTTGAGTGGCTAACATCTTTTGGGAAATGATTGTGAAAATGCTAACACACATACACTTGGTGGTGTTGGCACATTTACAAAGGAGGTGGTGTTTGCAGGGGTGAGATGGGGTTTGGGTCCCTCTCTCCCTCCCGCCGAGCTTGCGAGGCGGGATTCGGCGCATTCGGGTAAATGGAATGCCTACTTTCTATTGCGCCGGATGCAAATTCTTGGTGGTTAGCACATTGGAGCAAGGGTGAAGAAGTTAGAAGTGAGAACGAGTTGGTCGCGAAGATGCCAAGCGCCGGTCAACCGACCGGACGCTGATCTGAATGCACCGGACATGCCGGCAAGCTGCGTCCGGTCGCGGCTGACGTCTGATGACGCAGATAGCCGGAGAGTGACCGGACGCTGGCTGCGTCCGATCAAGGCGTCGACCGACGCGCGCGTCCCGTCCGGTCATGCTCGGAGCTTATTGAAAACGACCGGACGCCGGGGTTCTGCGTCCGGTCGGGCTTGAAGTGCTTCGTCCGGTCGGCGAGATGACCGTTGGGATCGGAAGATGACCGTTGAACGCAGGGGACACGTGGCGAGTATCAGCGTGATCGGACGCCAGTGGTCAGCGTCCGGCCGATCGGACCGAGCGTCCGGTCGGCCCGACCGCTGCCCAAAGGAAGAGGTAACGGCTAGTTTAGCCCTTGGGGCTATAAATAGAAGTGGCCCTCGGCCATGGCTGGTGCTGAGCACCTCAAGGGACTTAGTGTCCATGCTTGTGAGTGCTTGGGAGCCCTCCATCACACATATACTTGATAGCGATCATCCGATTGTGTGAGTGAGCGATTCTAGTGCGATTGCATCGTGAGGTTGCATCGAGTGGCACTAGGTGATCGAGTTTGCGAGCCGGTGGTGCTTGTTGCTCTTGGAGGTTGCCACCTCCTAGACGGCTTGGTGGTGGTCTCCGTCGAGCGCCGCAAGAAGCTTGTCTTGCGCCCGAGAAGTGCTTGTGAGGGGCATTGTGCTCGCCCAGCGAAGTCGCTAAGAGCAACTTTAGTAAAGCGTGTCATTGAGCTACCCTCACTCAAGGGGTAGGTTCTTGCGGTGCCCGACGTGCGGGCTTAGCGGGTGATGCTAATTAGCCGCCCGAACCACCAAGTGAGCGGTCGACACAACGGGACTAGCGTGTTGGCAAACACGTGTACCTCGGGAGAAAAATCATCGTGTCAACCTTGTTCTTCCCGTTGGTTTGCATCCCCATTACACAAGCTTGCAATTACTTATATATATATATCTTAAGCTTGTGTAGTTGCTCTTGTAATTAGATAGCTTGTGTAGCTAGCTAATTACCTTCTTGCTTGTGTAGCATAGAAGTAGCTCCTTATGCGTGGCTAATTTGGTTTTAGTAACCTTGTTAGTCACATTGCTTAGTTTGTGTAGCTAAGTATTTGCGCTCTCTAATTAGGCATTGGTTGCCTTGTTATTGAGCATTGCTAGTGAGCTTAGTTAGCTTTGTGCTTTTGCTTACTAGCATGTGTAGGAGCTCCCTTGTTACTTAAAGTACTAGTGGCATAGGTTTGTGTGACCTTGCTCCTAGAATTGTTTAGGAGAGCTCTAGCTAGCCCGGCACCTTAGTTGCTTTATTAGTATCTTTGCAAGGTGCAAGTGAACATATATAGAGGGGTGTAGTCTTGGCTAGACCGATTGTTTTAATTCCGCATTTATATCGGTTAGCCGACGCGATTAATTTTAGAAAAGACTATTCACCCCCCTTCTAGTCCGCCATCTCGACCCTTCAGCCTTGACCTCGCGCCCTGATCGGGGGCGCCCAGTCCATCTATGGCTGGCGGGCCCCCGTCACACTGCGCATTAAATAAAGGTGGGGTCGGCGGCTCTCAGTACGAGGTTCGCCTGAGCCGTACGCCCCCCCTAGAAACCCTACTCCGATCTAACAGAGGGGCGCAGCCGATGGACGGAAGCACCGCCGCCGCCATCAACACAAGCTGCACCGCGCCGGTCTTCACTTACTCCGACCGTCGCTGCCGTGTGCAGATCTTCATCGACGAACCAGCGAAGGCAGGGAGCTCCTCCGACGCTCAGATGCTCCTACTCTCTCTCTGTCTCCTACTCCCAAAGAAAGCTATAGGTGTATTTGATTTAACTGATAAAGAAATCACCCACTGGATCCGCACCTAGATGATCCAAAGTAATTAACATTATCATGATGCCATGAGCTTTTTTTATATCATAAAATACTTCTAAAGTTATAGAAACTTGAATGGTCATTTTCAGGCTTTTTAATTTCTTGTGTTTCACCATATGTTCTTTTTTTTTAAATAAAGGATTTCCCAATTACTTATGGCGATTGACTAACCCCATAGTTTTTTTTTCTTGAGAGGGAGGGGTCCTTCATTGTTGTGACTCTGTATCATTGAATTTGTTAACTTGTTACATAATGTCAAGCTAAAAACACAATGCCCTTCTGTTATGACCGGGAATGCATATCAGCGGCGCAACGCAAGAAGTGGCTGACTACGACGCAAGGCGGGCGTGTTAGAGCGCGGTCGCGGTGACCACGGCGAGAGTCCGGCTCAGCCATTACTCAGCCACGACGCATCATGCTATCAGGAGTCCTAGACTTGTTAGCGTTAGTTGTTGGAGTCCTAGTATTAATATGATCTAGTACGTATGGTTGTCCCAGGATATTACGTGAGGTTAGTTGGTTTGTTACTGTAAGGGGTATAAGTACCCAGACATTATTTGTTAATGAGAATTAGCCTGGGATTGAGACATCGAGTCTCCCTTGGGCACCCAGCCCTATTGTCATCGTGCTCATCTAATCTCGCTGTAGCCTAGCACCGGCCACGGCGCCTCCTGCTCGTAAACGTGCCTTCAAGCCCCGGCCTCCAATCCACCACCGCTATAACCTCAGAAGCTTGAACTCTCGGGCCCTAAGCGCTAACACCTTCTTATTTTACTACTTGACAATAAAAAAATAAATATAACTAATACTCCAAATAATAATGTATTTTAAGTTGAATAACGATTTGAGCGTGTACAGACCAAAAATATAGTAACACGTTACTGGATATATATAATACTATATGTTTGCAAAAAAAAAAAAATCTTGTGTTCCTATCTCTCTGGTTTATCTCTAGGCACTCAATGCATCTAATACGTACGCAACCAAAAATTACTAAGGCTGACTAGTAACTCCTACAAAAATTAATTTGTAAAGTCCGACAACAAGTATTTATTCAAAATGGCCCCGTTCGCTTGTCTTAAATTTGGCTTATTCGGCTTGTTTTTTCAGTCGGAACAGTGTTTTTCTCTTACAACAATTCAGCCGGAACAGTGTTTTTCAGCCAGTTTCAGCCAAAGTTCAGACCAGCGAACGGGGCCAATATATGCATGCTTTGTAGATCGAATTTGTATCGCTAGATTCACAAGATTCACATCCTAAACATCCTTTAAATACAGAATGATTTAGAAATTGATGATATATTATAAGATGGTCAAATTACACTTCTAAAGATTTCTCCAAATTCTAATGCACCTTATAAAAATAAACAGAGTAGTATAACTGATAAGGACGCATATTTTTGCTACAGATTAACAAGCAACAGAATAGTATTGGTTGTCTCATCAACATTGAACCGAAGGATGTGCTCAGAATGAAAAACATTGAACTGGCGAAGGAAGAAGTTTACCTTGATGTTTGGCCTCAAGTGGTTGTGCCATCTTTCTCTGCATTGCTTTCCCACTCTTCCTGGTAGCAGTTGTGCTATGTAAGACCACTTCCTCAGTCCAAATTGTTCCACTAATTTCACCAGCTTCCTGTTAAATTTTCCAAGAATGAGTTCACTGATAGATAATAAGAGGAAACTAGTCATGACTTACACTAAACAGTAGAGATTTTTATCTTTATAGGTAAGATATAAGCAATGTCGATGGATTTTAACTTTTACCTATCTTCCTCTGGTGTCCACTGCCCTTTCACAATATTTACTTTCTTCAAAGAGGTCTTCTTTCTTGGCAGAAACCTGCGATTCATCTCATATGCCTTATATGATCCAAGGCCACTGTCCATGAGATGAGAAACCTCAGTTTTGGGAGTCAGCAGAGGCAGTTGGGATCCAACTCTATGACCGATTGGTGAAGCATGGTTGAATATGGGCTTCTTGATTTCTCTTTCTGCAAAGAACTGGTGTCCAAGGTCGTTGAAGGCTCCAGAGGTATAGTCCCCAATAACTTCAAATGGATGATGATCAACAGGATGGATCTCGTAGCGTCCATTTTGCTGCATGTACGAATCAAATGGCATGTAACCACAAATCCCTGCGTGGGGCTGAAAGCAACTGAAATCCATGGGGATCTCAGAAGCTATGTAAGGTGGAGGGAGAGAGATTGAGTAGCAAGTTTGTTATCTCCCTGCATCTCTCAAAAAGGAGAAGTGTGCAGGATGCCGTACTACTGCTATATAGAGTACAAGACTTGTTCCCTTCAACACAACAACTTAATGAAACTTAATGTTTTACTACTTATTGCTAGTTAATGACCTTATTTACTGTCACTAATACTTAACGACTTCTTGTATTCCATGGAAAGGTAAGGACAGTCCCAATGAAAAAAACTAGTAATTTCTATAACATAGGATACCGCACCAAAAAAGTACTGCTTTCCAACCCATGGTTTCTATGAGTAATAATTATTTTCTCTTTCTCTCTCCCAACTCTATCTTCTTCCTCTAATAGGAGTGCGACACGAGCCCCCTAAAAACTAGTGGTTTCTCCCCAATGGCGATTTCATGGTTTCTTGGTGCATTGGGTCAAGAGAAGACCTGGTTTCTTCACGAGGAAACCATTTCTATGATTTTTGCTCTCTTTCTTCATTAACTACGTTGCCATGTCAACATTTTGCCTACGTGGCAAGTCATTTAATGAGAATAGAAACCATCATCAATACACCATTGGGACTACCCTAATAAAGTGCCCTTTAATCTCAAACTTGGCACACACACATCTTAATTAGACCTTACTGCAAATATTGCTAATGGTACAGCATACTCCTATATACGATGAAGTTCACGCAATCTGATGACACAATGCATCTTAGACGTTACGGAGTAAATGTAGAACCCAACTGCAGTATGAAAGTTCAGGCTTCGGAGGCATGCCATGCTTGGGGGGAAAAGTAATTTGTACTAGCTGTGGTAATCAAGAAACATATGGAACTGTTTGAGGTTGGTTGGTAGTCAAACCTAGAGCTGGAGACGAGGAAGTGCTGAGTGCAGCCATGTAGGTGACAAAATTCACTCAGTTTTTGGAACTATACCAGATCTATCAATGCAAAAGTTAATACCCAAAAACCAAAATCTGCCATACCTGTACTTCCACGATGGCATGGGCTTCAGCTTGTGGAAATTAAGTCGGCACATTATATAAATCTGTCTTATATAAACCATACATCAAGCTTCTTATCAATTGTTCATCACTTCTTGCCACTTATTATTGCATATAAAAAAGGAAGATGGTTGGCAGACACATATATATAAACCCTTAATAGTACCATTACAAGTAGCAAATATATCTAAACTCAACAAAAAGAAACACCTATCCAGAGCACCTTGATACATGCATTGGCTGGAACACATGTCAATTTCTAATTCTAAGATAAACCTCCCTTTAACAAAAGTTGACACATTTCAGGAAATAAACCTATATCAAATCTAGCAAGTAATTTGAAGTTTTGGAAAAAAAAACTCTCTATCATCTTTAACGTTTCTGTCCATTTGCACATTCTTGGATTTAATCTCTTCTACTCTCCAAATCCCATATAAATATATAATGCCAACATGAAAAAGAAGTCATTTACTTATTCACTTGGACCTGTGCTGCAGATAAGAAACATTTACCTATCTCATTAATTGGGAGGCAGTTTGTTTGTCCTATATTTCATTCAGATATTCATTGTAATCAATTCCACTAGAACTTTTAAAACAATTTATACAAGATGCATATCCAATTGCACATGTGTTGCACCATAAATCCCTGGTCCATGCAGCTAGAGGGTGGAAGTAGTAGGGATTCTATATGGGTCATGTTCGATCGTGCAGTTATTCGTTCAGAAAACTTAAACTTTTAAAACAATTTATACAAGATGCATATCCAATTGCACATGTGTTGCACCATAAATCCCTGGTCCATGCAGCTAGAGGGTGGAAGTAGTAGGGATTCTATATGGGTCATGTTCGATCGTGCAGTTATTCGTTCAGAAAACTTAAACTTTTAAAACAATTTATACAAGATGCATATCCAATTGCACATGTGTTGCACCATAAATCCCTGGTCCATGCAGCCAGAGGGTGGAAGTAGTAGGGATTCTATATGGGTCATGTTCGATCGTGCAGTTATTCGTTCAGAAAACTTGAAACACACATATAAGCAAACACAAATTTAGACTTGGGAAAAATATCAAATCTGAATGGTGGTGTTTGAAAACCTGAAAGACAATGGTGTTCACCTGTCTCCTGATGAGGATCAAAATGACAGTCCCAAGAAGTGTTCATAACCAAAACATACTATTGGAAAGGAACTGGAAGTGTCTCCTTCAGTCTCCACACCAATTTCCTGGGTTAGAAAATGTGCTCAGGTGATACTCAAACGCTCTCCAGAGAAGAGTGCTGATCCCGACAATGATAGATTTGTACCTGCAAAGTTGGGAAAATGACAATGACTAGCTACTGCCTATTCAGATGGACTATTTGCACATCAACTGGAAAATGGTGCTGAGAAAGTACCACAAAATGTCGATAGTCTGAAAGTTGGGGAAAAGAGGCTTAATAATGTGCTCTCTCATGATGAGTATAAAAATTTACAGCCAAAATGAAAGCACAAGAGGAGCACTATTCAGACTTGCATGGAGCCGACATCCCCTCGCATGAATGGCTTGTGGCGGCGCGTTGATGAACTCCCTGAGGTGCCCGCGGTATGTGCCTGCCCACCCGATGTCAAGACCGTTGGAGAAGAAGAGGCCCTCGGCCCCCGCAGTCGGTGACAAGCGCGGACCAGCGGGGCCTTCACGGATGCCACGGAGTGCACATCACGGACGAGCTAGCTTGGTAGGGCGATTTTTTTAAAATTTTAACCTTTTTTTCAATATAATTTTAAATCTAACACTGTCGATTTTTTTTTAAAACTAACACTTTTGGCCGCGCCTATTGCCCTGGCGCGGCCAAATGCCTGTGCCGCGCCATACACGGTGGCGCGGCACAGGGCTGATGTGGCGAGGGCCGGCCTGGGGGACCGCTGACGTGGCAGGTCCTGCCGCGCCACCGACCTTGGCGCGGCAGGACCATATATATACCGCCCGCGCAGCCACACCACCTGGCAGCTGCGCCCGCCGCCCGCACGGAGTACCTGGATGGTTGAATCGAAACGCGTCGCACACGTATTTGATAAGCCAATGATAAGTTTTTCGTCTTTCATAATACGGTTATGCACCATTTAAACTAATCGATTACGAAAAATTATCACCGAGACTGTCGGTTTCAGAACTAGTTGGTACTTAATCTCTGTCGCGACTCAAAGAAACGAATAAGAAGCAAGTTGACAAGTTGCCACATAACATATTCATTGTTTTGACATAAGTTTGAGATAACATAACCAAATAACCACGCAAGTTTCGGATGACAATATTCGTTTGACCTAACAAACTAAGATCCAGGAATGTAAGGATCCCTCGGACGCCTCTGTCTCTTCGAATTTGTTGGCAACACATTAGGAGTGTAGCCAACGTCGGTATGGTCGTGTCGACGGAGCGTACGGCTCGTACCCTGCAGGTATATGATACGCACGATTACTTACGATCGTTAGTTCATGGAGCCTACGTATTGAAACAAACTATCTTTGTTAGTACCTGTGAGGCTCTTTGGGTGCTAAGCGGGGCACCACCTAGATGAGACATGCCGATCTCGTCCTGTGGCTATTCGTCCCACTGGTCGTGCTGTCCGCGGAAGCCCGGGGGTTCGTCGTCGTCCTCCTCGTCCTCGATTGCAGGGTCCTTCCCAGCGCTATGATGTGGTGATGTACGCACCGCGGAAGTGGCACCTGTCATCGGCTGAGAAGAGCCGACTAGTGTCATCAAAGAGGCTGAAGACGTGCCACCCGACCACGCCGGGAGTGACGGTTCCTCATAAAGAGTGTCCATGCAGCTCAGCTTCTGAGCTAGCTTCCTGCAACTCTTATTCACCTTCTGCATAAATAGACGTTAAAGTTAGTTCATTACACAAACGCATATACACTAAAGAAATATTTTTGAAACGAACAAGTTTATGTTTACCTCCACAAAAGCCACGAGAACGCCTGGCCCCTGTCCTCTAGACTCGTGAAGACGGAACGCTGCTTCGTTGGACAGCCTTGACAATTGTGTTGCCTGGGTACAGAAACACGGTTGAACAGTTTTAGTACACTTACTTAAAACCAAAAGGATAACAAATTGTACCATTCAAGTATCTTACCACGTATCTTTGAAGCGGGGCTCTCTGTAGCTGTGTGTCCTCCCTAGTGGTAACGTCGTACACATCTTCGATGCCATCTTCCTCCGAGTCCTCGTCAATCGCCACGTCAGTGCACGGGGGCTTGACATGTGTCCTCGTAGACCTGTGAAGCCACCGCAGGTACTCGTCGAAGGTGTGCTGGTCGTGTGGAGGACCCGCAAGGACCGCATGTGGTACCCTGGTCTGCCACAACTGGATGTACGGGCTGTGTGCCACGCGCCAATCCTTGGTCTTGTACCTCTTCCCGCGGTCAAACCTGCAACAAAATGATGTTAGTTGTACCAAACACAACTCTGAATTGTAGCATTGTTATTAATCGATAACGCACCCGTGCAATTCTTGGTTGGTGGAGTAAAGCGGTGGTGGGCAGGCTGTCATTCTTCCAAACTGTCTGTAGACCCGGATAGGCAAGTGAATCTCGACCACATGGAAGAAAATAAGAGGAACGTCGCAGCGATACTCGTGTGACTCGTCCCTAGTGATAGGACTCAGGTAGCCCTGAAGCTCCGGAGAATCCCAAGGACACCAAAACACCTGAAATTTCGTAATTGTGTTAGGTTGTGATATACTGTACATCGAAGCAGACACTGGTATGATAGTATAGAGAGCCTAACCTGGTGCTGTGTCAGGACGTCGAGACCGTTCATGTACTTGTGCCACGCATTCCCTCTAACTAACTGTGCCTTCGTCTAGATATACAGAGCTGTAGGGAGTGTATCATGCCCGTTCCATCGCTGCATTGAACACGATAATGAATTAGCAACAAATAATCTCATCATATCTAACTGCCTAGAAAATATAATGAACCAAAGTACTTACCGATAAACCATTATTAAGGGGCCTCCCAACGGGCAATCGTTCCCAACACCAAACTTGGAGTAGGTACGAGCAACCCCCAAGGTTCGCATGTCTTGAGGTGCGATGACAGGCAACACATAGCTGTCGATACGTCAATGCCAGGACTGCGCTGCCCCAGCTGTACCCCGCTATGTTCTCCCACGGCTGGCGAAGTATGTCAACGAAGATCCAGCTGATGGTGTTGCCCGAGGCGTCTGGAAAGAGGAAAGCACCAAGAAAGTGCCAGAGCCAGACTCGAGCGAACCTGTCGATCTGAGCCCCCTTAGCTTGTGGGTCCAAGTAATCAAAGCGCTCTGTGATCTAGGACGACGAAACACCGGAAGTTTTCCTGTAATTGATCAAAGAAAATGAGACCCGATGCCAGCTGTAAACAATGCAAGTATTAAATAGGCTTGAAATTACTCACTTATTTTTTTTAGAAGCATCATCGTCCGGTGGAAGAAAGCCAGTAAACTGAGCCACCAGCTCCCTCCAGTGATCGTTGTCAACTATCCCTGTCACTGGAAGTCCCCCCAAGCGAAGGCCTAAAATAGCCTTCACGTCCTGCAACGTCATGGTCATCTCGCCACAAGGTAGGTGGAACGTGTGGGTCTCAGGCCTCCACCTATTATAAGAATAGAACGACTGTTAGTTGCCTCAAATTTATTACAAGAAAGTTTACGTACAAATAATACACTCGCACCTGTCTACAACTGCAGTAAGTAGTGCTGGGTCAAGCGGCGGAAGACCATGGTTCACAACACGAACAAGCTCGAGGAAGCCGGCACGCCGTATGTACGACATATAACGCTCGTCCCACTGATGCGCCCTGGTGTGCGTGCGGGGCCTCAAAGGAGGCAAGGACACCTCTGCGTCGTTGTCACTCAAGATGTGTGCTCGGTGCTGGTCGTCGTACTCCACCTCAAGAATGGGGTACAACGGGTGCTGCGTGGGAGGGGCCATCCTTTTTACAAATTGATAAACAAAACGTTAGAGTATTCAAATTAACAAAATTCAAGTTAACATTAGTAAGTTCACAAACAAATTCACTAACCTAAATCTCTAAACCCAAAATCCTAAGTATACTAGATAATAAATACATAATCAATCCATAAGAAACTTTGGTTCCAAAATTACAAGTAATCCCTCCGTCTCAAAATAAATACACATCTTACTTCTCAAGTAGTCAAATATGTTTAAGTTTGATCAAAATTTTAAAAAACGGTATCAATATTTGTATCTCCTAATAAGTTTATTACGAAAGTATACTCCATGCTTAATGTAATAGTACCTATTATGTAATAGTACCTATTACAAAAGGTACTTCCTCCGTCACATAACAATAGTTGTTCTAAGATATCGCAAAGACACTAGTACTAAATGAAAATAGCCTCGATGCCCTAGATGCTCCTAGAAAAAGAAATAAAATTAGCCTCGATGCCCCTAGATACTCAATGTAATAGTACCTTAGAAATACAAAAAATACTAACTATAATACATAATAATAAAAATAATATGAAATCGAGACGGGTACCTTAGGAGCGGGCGGCCTTGACGCCACCGCTCAGCGTTGGGGAGCGGCCGGGCCAAGGCGCGAGAAGGCCGAGGCCGGGCGGGCGCAGCGATGGTGCGAGGCGAGGCAGGCGGGCGAGCGAGAGTGCGTGCGTGCGGGCAGGTTTCGTGCACGCGTGATATATATGGTCTGCGCCGCGCCGTATCGGTCGGCGCGCGGCGCTGCAGGGAAGAGGGCGTGTGCGATGGGGATCTTCCCCAGCCGACCCTCGCCACGTCACCTTACTTTTATTAAAGTGTTTTTTAAAAAAAACCGACATCTTAGATTTAAAAATATTAAAAAAAGGGTTAAAATTAAAAAAAAATCTGCACACGTGAAGGCTTAGGGGCGGCGACGGGCAGGGGGGAGGCGTGTCTGGGGATTTTTCTTTACTTTTATTAATCCTTTTTCACATCTTATTTAAAAAAAACTGCACACGACTTTCTATTTTTATTTCTACTAACCTTTTTTGGCCGCCCCAACACTTTTGGCGCTCTAAAATCACATTTCTGTGTCACGCTTTTAGCGCTCCAAAATCATATCTTTCTTGTGTGGTGTCAAATAAAGACATTGTGTACATGAAAATTGTAGCCCTCGACGAGTTCTACAAATTTCTAGTTTTGATTTTTATCATTTGAAGTTGTTAAGATGCTAAAAAACAATATAGAGTTTCAGCATCAGGATAGTGAAAACAATTATGAATTGGATGCTTTGTTGAATCGTGCACAAAAATATTTCAAATAAACAGATCTTGAATCGTGCACATTCTTTTGTAGGCTAAATTGTCTCTTGTACGGTAATACTCCTGTGTTCTGAGTTTGTTCTGGAGCCAATGCACACCACTGTCGCTACTCTAAATAGGCTAGTGCTGTTGTGATCAATCCATCTGGACCGTCCAGGTTCAATCTGACTGCCAGAAGCGCAGATGGGACAGCCAACTCCAGTCCTCACGATACGGTTGACAAATGACACGAGGGAGGCTGCGTATACGGTCATATGGGCAAAATTGTCTCTTTATGTTAACATGCATGCTTAGATACGCTGTTACGTTACACACACACACACACACACACACACACACACATAGCACAAGAAACGCACCTTGCTTTCGCAAAAAAAAGAAATAAAAAAAAAAGAGATCCACCTTGCAGTAGGTCCTTGAATTGTGTACCTACATTTTGACGGCTTCATCATCTAATATAGCTGACGAGTTCATTGCTTATGGAGACCATGCGCCGCCTTCTTCACCCACGTTCTCCTAAATGTAATTAGAAATACTCCGTAGTTGTGATAAAAAAGATAAATACTCTGTAGTACTAAAATGTAGTCACAAACCCAAACCGTAAGGTTAGCTAATACGAAAAGTCAAATTTTACAAACTTTGACCAACAAATTGTGAAATTATCTACAAGTTTAGAACATAAAAATTGCATTAGGTGTGCATCCAATATGATATTAATTCTTTAGCAAATGACAACATATTATAAGATAAATTAAGAGTCAAAATATATTTTATATGACTTTTGCCTGATCAAAGTACGCTAGATTGTTCTGAGACTGAGGAAGTATAAAACAACATTGATCGTGATGACAGTTTCGAATTCAAACTTTGACAACATTGATTATCCAAAAAGATAAAGTGGGACTAATAAGGTATCCCAATTGTATAACAGTTCCTTCTGTTTGTTTACATATGACGGCCAACTTGCACTTTCAAGTTTCAACTACACCGTCATGTATACGACTCTCCTGCAAGTTACAATGGCAGGTCAAAAATACATGCCTGATGACCTGCCTGTCCTCTTTGCACACGAGCAGCATTGATTTTCTGAGAACTTCCAAAAGCGGTGTGACTGGGCCGCAGTTTGAACTTCCAATTCCAAAGAATGCTGGCTTCATGCTGAAGAATGTGAAATTCGGACAAAGTGTTTTGAACACACGATTGGAGTGGTTTGGAATATTTTGTTGGCATCATTTAAACTTTTAGGTGATGTCTGCTCCTACCACCTGACGTTCAGCATCTTCTTCACGGTGAAGTCATGGACAGCTACCAATGATACAAAAATGCAGGAGGGTCAGAGACAGTGATGGTTCATTCGTTTGCATGTTAGGCATAGGGCAACAGCATGCATTATGTATCTGCACCTGCACATGACGAATTAAAAGGAAAAGAAAAACAGCAGGCAGCTTAGACCAGTTATCAGACATCAAGCGCTGATCTGGTCAGAACCATCCGGGATCTCACTGCATAAGTTGAAATAAATAAAGCCAATCTTGAGTAAATACATTAATCCGGGATACATTAGTATGTGCTAACTCCGGCCCATGGCTATGAGAAACGTCGACATCAACCAAGAACAAGAACGAAGCTGTTTAGTACAGGATTAATTGCTACCAGTACGGTATGAGCTGAAATAATTAAAGCCAATCCTGAGTGATTGGAAAAGTCGATTTAAGAATTGTCAGTGGATGTGAGATAACTCTACCATAATTAATTCTACACCTGGTACATGTCTGTTCAGACTTCAGAGTGAGGAGGCACAAAGCCCAAAAAGTAACATGCCACAAAGTATCACTGGGGATTACTAACCTTCTTTGAGAAAAGAAAAGAAAAGGAAACCAACTGCTATTGGATACCTACTAAATTCACGGAAAGAACGAAAAATGGCTGGAATTCAACAATAGCTGTAATTCTAAAAGACAGCAACTAACCAAGTTAAATAACAAACAAACTAACTAATCATCCAAGCTGCCTGGCAGATGACACCCGTACTAGATTTTTATGCAATGTACTTGCGAACAGCTTGGCTCAAGTGCACATGACATATGCAGGCTGGTAACTGTATCTACATACCCTGACCAAGTGACCATAGCTCATATGTGTACTTTTGCAGCATAGGGTCTACAAACTCAATAAAAAAAGTTCAATCAATATATATGAGGAATTATTTGTTCCCCCAGATCATTTCTAAATATAGCAGTATTTTACTGTTGTAAGTCCGTAAAATATGTTTCAAATTTCAACTAACTGCTACATCCAAGATACAAATTTCAAGTACTCATTGTAATGCCAAATGGAACTTCATAATGCAAAGAAATTAAATAGGTGTGGAAAGAGCGATACAATCTATCCTCATTGCCTCTCAAGTGCAAACGAAGATTTTTTTTTTTTTGGCATTTCTGTTACTTCTGACATCAAAATGTTTTATAGTCTAATGCCTGCAGATTTGAACCCTGATCTTGATTTGCCCCAAGAAAGAGAAGGGTGCACATAGCTCTTTTATGAGTAAAAGAAACAGTTAAGAGAACCATACAAATATCATCGTCGCCGCCGCCACCTCTGCTTTCTCTGAGCTGTTGGTGGTAGCTTCTCTGAAGGTCCACAAGGAAGTATAGTTCCTGTCTCTTGCTCTATACGTTGCTTCAGCTCTCTTAGAATTCGGATTTGGCCCAATTTTTCTGGAGATAACTTTTCCCAGTAAATCCCTGCATACAAAATTCTCCAATATTTGGTCACATAAGACTAATTCGCAGGGAAAATAAGTGATAGGAACTGGCCAAACCTTGTGGCTTTGGGATGGTAGTCTTCGTGAAGATGACCTGAGTAGGGGTGCAGATAATGTCAACTGGCACATCATGAACTAGCAGCTTCTCCACTGGAATGTCATCCACTAACTGCTTGTCATGCACTGTAAGCATAGAAATAATTGGCATTTATGTTAGTGACTAGCCATGAACTAAATATGCAACAAGCAATTCCAAATCCATCTAAGAACAAAAAAAGGACCAACAGTTTTCCAATTCAGAAAAATAAGAGATGAGGCAGCAGCTAGGGTGGCAGCAAGTGCTGCCATGCCATCACGAGGCACCATCTAGGGAGGCAGCTGGCCGCCCTTCCAGCCTTCCTCCTCAAGTCGAAGATCTTCATCGGATTGATAGTAGGAAATAACGTTGGCTGCCGCCCTAGGGTGCCTCCTGGCGTGCCCACAAGGCACAAGGCAGGCATTGCAGCAGAAGCCGCCGCTGCAGCGGTTGCCATTGCCTGTGGGCTGGCTCAGCCCATGGCAACCTGGGCCACAGCACATGCATGCATAGATTAAATTCACTTATTTCAAGCTTTGCTAGAATCAGAACAGCAAAGTTAAACCCTGTTAGATACAGGCTAAAACAGTTGTTACTCGAGGTCAAGAACAGTAAGGTAGGAATAGATTCTGTAGATCAATCATACAGAATCACTGAACAAATCTGATCCATGTAAACAAACAGGCAAAATCAATAAAAGAGAACTCACCAGTAGTTACTATCATGGTTGAATCATCTATAGCTCCCATATAGCGAAGCATTCCATATTCCAGCTCTGCAAATCCCTGAAGTTGAAGTTCGCAAACAGTTATGGATGAGGAACAGGAAGACTTTAATTTTATTAAGCATAGGTTTTCATTTTAAAGCAGTGTTGACTCAACAACATGACCATGAATTTGATTTAGTTTATTTTCTGTTCAAGCAAGGTAAAGAAAAAAGGTCAAACTGTGGAAACTTCTTTCGTGCACTCTACTAACTAATGCTGTTCAGATGTAGAAAGAAACAACAATATCAACTTGATTTCAATTTTCAACTGTATATACATCAAGTGAATAGTTACCTCTCCCTTCCCTAACCGTGCTCCTGAACTTGGATCAACTGCCACTGACCCAATCACAATCAAATCCACCTTAAGGCTTTCATCTAAACCTATTGGCCTCCCATATTTAGCTGCACCAACAGAAGTGCATGCTTCAGGAATGCACCCAACGGGTATCATTTGAGAGTCCATAACTGAGAAAAACCCTGTCCTTAGCCGAGGTTGCGGAGTCAACAGCTTTTTATCACCTGGATGAAAAAAAGTAGCACCAAATCAAAATATTCATTTTCAAATGCTCAGGCAAGCAGTTTTGCATGAATGCAGTGACTGTCCTTGATAGATTGGGTACATGTGAAACATGATACGCACAGAGTGGTAGTTTTTTTTTTTTTAAACGCAGGAGAGCTGCGTTTCATTGTATTATAGAGATGAAAAATGGGGGGGGGGGGTCCCCAACAGGATCCTCACTCATACGGGGACCAGATATGAGCACAGAGTGGTAGTTAAAAAGGACCATCTGATCGAAAGCTGGAAAAAACGTACAGAAAACCTGAAGCACTAATGCAACCACTATATGCTTTGGTTTGCAGCACAAAATTCATTGAGCAATCAAGTGTTATTAACTTATGAGGTTAATCAGGAAACAGAATGATATAATGACATACTGGTGCATTACAACGAGAAATAGTAACTATGCAGCGATGAGCAAGAATCGACCTCATATATCATGCTCCACTGTGCCTAATTCAGAACACGCTTGTCATACTTACACCAGAAAAGCAACTACAATAACCAGCACAGCTTAAAGGGAGGTGTCAGGTGTGGTTCGTCATACTGCAAAAATTGGTCTTAAAAGCACTAGATCTTCAACCTGACACGGTTAGCGATGGTGGTGCCATGCAATCAAGATGGTGGACAAACAGCATAGAAGAAGACTTAACTCTTTGGTAATTTTTCTCTGAGCGCAAGCTTGCTGGTGTGAACAGCAGAGGAGGAAGGAGCCTTACGGTGTGCAGCCAGGGCTATAGGGAGTAGGGACATTTGAAACCTTTTCTAGGACCTACTGTCTTGTGTGACTGTGAGTGTTGTTGTATGCTTGGGTACTCTTTCCTCTTCAATAAATGGCTTGCAACTCTCCTGCGTGTTTGAGGAGAAGAAGTAAACAGGCTCTCTTCAAGAAAGATTGACAATACTGACAGCTACTTGTTTAAGCCAATCTACGAGCCAGATGCACTACAGTTTTAATTTTTTTATATGTGCCGACAAAGTTTATGCACATGCTAATATGCTGCTGGCCTGCTGCCACAAATAATACGAAGACACGATTAGGCCATCATAAGTTGTAGCACTCATAGGTACTGACCTGACAGTGTTAAGAACCGAACTTGCTTCTGAGGTGTGTCAGGATTGACCTTTACACACTGGGAATTCTGAAATATGTCAAGCCTCCCCAACTGGTGACAGTTTGAAACATTGTAAGTGTTATGATGAGCACGGAAATCAATTTACAAAGCAACAGGAATAGCACCAAGATTTGCATGTTACAAATTATGTAATGAATGATCAATAAGTGCAGCACATGTGATAACTTAATCACACAATTGTAATCTCTTGCTCCTACAGATGATAACAGAGCAATTTTTTAAGCCCCTGATTTGGATCAGAGAAACCAAAACATTTGGGTGTGTTTGGTTTGAGGAATGAGGTGGTCCATCTTCTTCTTACTCCTCAGTTTTTTTGCTTGGTTTGTGGAATGGAATGGTTTGATCCATCACCATCTCATTCCTCACAAGCTAATAATTAGTATATGCATGAGGAATGGGTTGATTCCACCAAAATTCATGGTATGAACTCATGATGCACCGCGTCATGAAGCATGGAGTGATCCCACTCCCACAAACCAAACACTCCATTAGGTGCCTGATCTAATTACATCCATTAAAAACAAAGCAACGGCTTGGTCAAATGCAATGCAGGGTTCCACATAACGCTGTAACTGAAACACAATATGCATTGACATAATTTCACATAAGGTTACCACTAACAGCCTAATCTGCATATCTGCACTCGGCATAATTTCAGACCACAGGAAAGGTGGGCCGCCAATCAGAGCCTACATCAAACTAGAGCCGAAGATTGCGCCGTGGCTGGTCGGCGTAGGTAGGAGGTCGCAGAACGGGCGGGCGGGCAAGAGGGCGAGGGCGAGCGCGCGTACCGCGTCTGCAGCGGCGGGTGCGCCGTCGAAGTTGGGGATGCGGTGGTGGACGGGGCGTGGGTCCCGCGCGACGCCCTCGGCCTCGAGCGCGTCCCACACCCGCTTCCGTATCGCCCACTTCCAGGCCCGCGGGTCCGCCTCCGCCGCCGCCGCGGCGGACTCCATCCCGGCCCGCGCCGCGGCGTCCAGGCGGAGCCGCTCGGCCTCGAAGGCGGCCGCGTCGAACGAGGCCGAGGAGGACGACGAGCTCCTGGCCGCGGATGACAAGGCGGCCGTGGCGCGGCGTGAGGCGCGCGCGGCGCAGCACAGTGGCAGAGGCGGCGTGGCGGGGAAGAGGAGCGGCATCGCTTGGCTGGCTTCTGCGCACGCTCGCCACTCGCGCCAGGAAACGGATTCGGGGAGGTTCCGATCATGTCGAGAGTCTGACATGTGGGCCCGCAGGAGCTGCCCCTGAAAATGCCAGTATCTCTAAGTCCTTTTCTGAGACAACACACAAAATATTTTGCGAATCACACCCATACACGAGTAGGTGCTCAACACGCACGTGCAATCACTCTTATAAACACACATACACAAACCTACATGGTAATCGTCCTATTTAGAAATGGTTTTAGCTGTACTGTCCTCAAAAAATTTGAAGACAAATGTAAAAAGCATTTATTTGTGTAACAGTGTCTTTCCATTTTTATTTAATTTGCATCCTACTTTTAAGTACATAGATTAATCTTGTTTCAAGTTTACACTTGGTTCTGAAACTATTTACTTCATTATTTGATCTATATATCCGATCGATGTGATTGTTGTTAGGTTAGTTCAGAGAGTATGTCTAGTTTGTTTGGTGTGGCTTCCACACCTCTTCGATGTTGGAGCATGCGAAACCGCACCAAACACCCTTGTGTGGACAAGCACTTATGGCCACCAAGTTGTACAAGCCATTTCCTCGTATGTATGCGCATCCACGAAAAATGGCTTCACCCGGAGTGCTCCAGCTCTAGCGACAGAGTGGGCACAAAAGTGCCACCCAAACGCGTCCTTACTCTAGCAAAGATTGAGCTCCACCAGAGTTGTAGATTTTAATCCACATGAACAGTGCAGAGCCAGGTTAGAATTCAAGGGGGGGCCAAACACAAATGCTAATGAAGTTTTGTAATAGTGCGTTGAAATATACTCCTAGCATCATCAGGATGGAAGCTAGAATAAAAAAATAGCTAATGCAAGTTTAGTTGTGGCCTAGATGAATGCATGTAGATGTTGTGCGGTAGTTGCAACTTTCAAGTGTGCATGCATGCGAATCTATCCCGGGGCAAGGGGGGGCCGGCGCCCAGTATGGCCCTAGTGTAGCTCCGCCAGTGCACATGAAGAATAATCTTTCTAGAAAATTAACTTAGCTTAATCTTTCTCTCTCTCTCTTTTTGTTTTTATTAGGCAAACGTTGAAATTTTGAGCATCGTTCATCCCACCTTGCCTATCTTAGTGTGAATCAAATGTGTCAATGTTTTACCATATTAATTGACATGAACATGTTCTTCACCTTGGTCGTGGTTGAAATAAATTGATGGCTAGCACTTAGCAGGATTTTGAGACCAAGTATGGTGCTGATTTCAAAGATATAACTAAAAGTTATTTTATGTATCTATTATACCTATATATAGTTCATACCCACTGCAGGTTCTATCTAACACCACAGTAATCCACTCATCAGCTAATACAAAAGAAACCGAACAGCAAAACGCAGCATCAAGTAACAGGCCTTTTACGGTTCCATTCCATTGAACATGGTGACAAATAATTGTCGTTTCTTCTTCCAATTGTGCCGCCCATTCAGCAGGCTGCTCAAGCGTCGTCGTTTTCTCCTTCCTATCAGGTCCTTTAAATTCCCCTTGGGCCTCATCTATCAGCGTCCGTGCACCATACGCCCGTACCCAGGTCCTTCGGCCGTGCGCCATACGCCCACACCCAGCAGGTCCTCCGTTGCTGTCGGAATGGAAGACATTAGGCTCTAGGCCTAGGGAGGGAAGGAAGCAGCAGCGGCTCCACCGTGCCGTGAGATCCCCTCCCTGTCAGCTGTCGCACAAGCTCGCCGGCGCCAGGCCCCAGGTCCTCCTTCGCCATTGCAGCAGAAGACATCAGGTTCTGGGGGAGCGTAGGAAGCAACCTCATCAACTCCACTCCACCATTTTGTGAGAGATCACTGCCAGCATGCTCCCTGTCGCAGAGGCTTGCCAACGCGATCTCCTCGCCATATGTAGTCGCCGGTGCGAGAACTAACTTCGCTACCAGGCGGTCCAATGGCCGCTGCATACTATCCACATATAGATGCCGTGCTCCACCGATGCTGGTTTGCTCATGATCTGAGGGAGCACCCGGCCGTGGGAAACAAGACGGCAAATGCCAAATGGATAAGGAAAGGATCGCGGAAATATTATTAAAGAGATAAGGTTGCTTCTGCTTCTGGTTGGGTCATGGCAAATGATTAACAATTGTCACCGGCATGCGTCGCTCGCTAGCTTATTATAACTAATTTGGATTTCGCATATTTTCAAGGTGAGACTACAAACGAACTGGCCAAATAATATGAAGGCCGTGATCATGCATACACGTTTTTTTTTGTCTTATCACTAGCAAATATGCTCGTGCGTTACAACGGGAGGAAAAAACTATTAAACATTTATGCAAAATGATAACGTGAATGGTACATATCTACTTATGTTTTATACTTTTATAATTTATTTTAGGATGACCATCACATCTAAAATATAAGTTAATGCTGACAATAAATAACAATGTCATATTAAATGTTTTTCGAATTAAAATACTCCTTGGTATATTTGTACTTCCGTTGCAAAGCGTATATAATTATTTAGATATAAATATATCATAACTTTAATTTTTTAATACTACCCATGTGTTCTTATGACTCAATATCAACCTTTGTAGCTTTTTTGACGCTTCATATCAATCTCTGTAACTTTTTTGTCGATGTGTAAATGATTAGTATGTCCGCCAATGATTATGACGGGAGACCTCTCTTGATGTTTCACACGGCAGCCCTCATTAGGAATTAGATAAATACATTTGTTTAGATTTCATTAGACAATAATCTGCCCAAGATTCCGGTTATGAAATAATTATTTGTACCATTGACTAATCCATATTTTAATAAAAATTTGTTTTGTTTATAATCAAAACTACGATGGTATATATCTTTTTCCTCAAAACTTAATACGCCAACAAAAATAATAATAAGTTTTGAAAAGTAGGAGTACATGTGCTTGATTGTATCGAGGCTTGCCTTAGGCAAGAACCGGATAGCGGAAAGTTAGTGAAAGCTTCTTGAACACCAACAATGAGGACATCCTCCTCGTACTTCTCGGCTACCTTCACGAATTCCGGGTCTGTCTTTGGCATATTCTCGGTCACAACATAGCAAAATTCATAACATCTATGTATAGATCGCATTTTTATAAAGCTAATAAAATTGGTTTGGTATTTTTCTGTTTTTTCTAAGATCTAAAAACAAAAGAAAAAAAAGTTTTGCATGGGCTTGGTGCAGCCTACAATGAAGCCAACTCAACTGTAAGGATTCAGTCCGGGTAGATAAAAAGCCCACCAGGAGAGGTCCACTCAAATCTGGATATTTTGCATCAGAAACCGTGGTCTATTTCAAAAACTATTAAAGCCCTTCTACCTTTTCTTTCTCTCTGACATCTTTACATCTAGAACCCTATATTTATTCTTTTCTCTTCCCTACTCCTTATCTCATTAGGACCGGCAAACATGGACTGTACGTAGACACCGACATGGATCCGAGCCAAGCAGCGGAAACAAAATTATCATAGAAATTTTACCTTTTTATTATTAGGTATAGATTTCAGCCTTCTACATCCATACACTTCTTTTTGGAAAAAAAGAGAGTACATTATGAGCCTCTATTATTAATGCTTGACTTATCAGTACGTGTTAATAAACCTATATCTCTTATAAAGCAAAACCCCATCAGCATCCACTAGAAGATCCCATTATGTAGCACATGTAACTATCCCTTTATGCAAAATGTCCATATCAGCATCCACTAGCACATGCCATTATATCTTCATTCAAGCTATTCACGTAGCAAACCACCCATTTACTTACGTATATTTATAGTTGTCTACATTAAAATGCTAAAAATCATCCACTAACATGTATTATGATATTTATTCATTCATATATTAGTAAATATAAATAGTATAATTTTAACAGTGATTCCTGCAGGAACATGGCAGGGAATTCACCTAGTTCTTAATATACATATGTCAAGAAGAAAGCTTTTTATGTACTCCTTTTTATGTTTATCTTTTTCTTGATTTTTCTTTGGCTGTGTATAGAACAGAACTACCTAGCTTGCCCGGGGGGGCAAATAAAGTGCAATTTTCTATTTACTCTTATAATACAACGACTTAGCCGACAAAATGGGTCATTACTAAAAGCTCATTTTTATATTTGTATTGCTCATTATACCTCCACTATTATAAATTGCCACACATGAAATACGTATCAGCTAAACATGCTATACAACATTAGTTATTTATTCAGCAAATTCTCGCTGCAACGTGCGGGGATTTTACCTAGTATTTAGTAAAATTCTATGGCTGTAGACTTGTAGTACGTATACTGTTATCAGAACCCATTCTGACAAAGATGCGCAAGCTCTTGGTGGGGCGCACATTGGAACAATCGGGAGACTTGTCACGTGTTTGATCTGGTCACGTGTTTGATATCACTAACTTATCAACCCGGCTTATCCGCCATGGTACAAGATACTCGAGATGGTGTCCAATATCCCCCTTTTCCTTATAAAAAATAGAATAAGAAGCAAACGTTACACGATGTCACAAGTTTGTCCACCTGACAATTCCTCGCCAATTATTTACCCGGATGGTAACTGGCAAATGTTAAAAAAAATCAGGGCATGATTTCTAGGTTAACATTTTTCTTTCATCCCTCATTCTAGCTTTAGCACATGTTCCATATTTTCAGGCTCAGCACTGAATTCAATAGCTACAGCAGAAACAAGAGCTGCTTCATACAGCAGCATAACCACCTATAGTCGATTCATGTTCACTCAGTCATCGATTTTCTAAGTTTTTGGTAAAACATCTGAGTTCCATTTGTCGAAAGTTGTTCATCATATATTCTCTCGATGAAGGTCTTGTGCTGAAACAAAACTGGTAACTGAGAGACAATTTCCCATTGATATGGTCAGGATAATTCAAAACAAGTCTCTTGGATAGACGCCGCGGAACCTTGGAGAGCTAGAAGTGCCCTTCACAGAGGAGGAAATCCAGGAAACGATCAACACGATG